AGCACACAAGGTCAGGGTTACCACCTCCTCATTTCTCATACACTTCTTCCCAGAACAATAGCACAGTTACTATTGTTATTTTAAATCACATTCATATTTAATGCTTAATTAAAGAGACTGGCAGGTTATTAGGTGGTGGGTTCGGCTTTAACCTTTCCCACGCCTCATTTGGCCTCTCCACTGGCTGATTCACAGGCACTTTCCTTATTTCCATAAAATGTGGGGGCAGAATAATCCTATATCTGGATTCCATTAGCATTTTTCATTTGAATACTATCGTGTGATGGATGCCACAACATGTCTTTGGAGTTCAGATGGCCTAGACCCAGGAGTTTCCAAACACAGTGGAAGAAGAGGGGAGGATTAGCCAAACCAATGCTTAACTCCAAGTTACTTTGCTTTTGAACATTGGAGTCCAGCCTGCATTGTAATATTTCTCTTATGGGCACCCAGATTGGACTCATTGTAGAGGCTCGGTGGCAGGCAAAGGAGTTCAATTTTTTACTGTGGGTGGCACCTGTCAAAGCCAGGATGCTTGCCAGCTTGGTAAGCCTTGATGAACATTCACTCCTCCACTCATCTGGGAGTTCCTAAGCTGGTCTGTTGCCTTGGTCAGCTTTTAGTTGCTCAGACAAACTAGCTTAGACAATCAAACCTTTAAAGGAGAAAAGGCTAATTTGGGCTAGTCAGCCAGTTCCATTGCTAGACAGAGACATTGTGGAAGGGGTGGTGGAGGAAAACTGCTTACCTCACAGCTGCCAGGAAGCAAAGAGAGACAGAGATACAGAAAAGCTTGGAGACCAGATACACTCTTCAAAGGTGTCTCCTAAGAGACCAGGCCCCATAACCTAAGAGATCATTCAGCTACCACTCATCCATGGGCTAATCCATTGATATCAAGTTAGTGTTGATGCAACATTTTCCAATAATGCCACCAGCTAGGTACCCAGCCCTCAACACGTAAGACTTTGGTGATATTTTATAACCAAACCCCAGCATCCGTGTACTTTGACCAAGTTACCTGGGGATTCTGAAGAGCTCCCCTTTGCTAGAGCTGTTCCTAGGAGACAGGGCCTGGGATTTTTATTTACCCTGATGTCAGAGTTGTTTAAATTAGACAAGTCACATGGAGTACTTAGAACTGTACTAGCCATAGAGCACTATGCCTCACGCCTGTAATCACAGCTACTCAGGAGGCCGAGATCTGAGGATCATGGGTTTGAAGGCAGTCGTGGCAGGAAAGTCCATGAGACTCATCTCTAATTAAACACCAGAAAACCAGAAGTGGTACTGTGGCTCAAAGTGGTAGAGCACTAACCTCAAGCAAAAAAAGCTTAGGGACAGTATCCAGGCCCTAAGTTCGAGCCCCACGACCAACCAAAAAAAAATAAAAAGAACTGTGCTAGCACTCAGTAAAGGATAACTATTACAGTTACTGAATCAGGAGTTGTGGACAATCCCAGGATACAAACTTTAGCAAGTGGGGTCAGGAATACAGAGGGTCCAAGTCAAATTAGGCCACAGCCATCAAGAGTCTCAGAGTCATGCTGGAAGGAGAAATCTCAGGTTTCATCTTGACAATATACAAGGATAGAAACAGGTCCACCCAGGAGGCGAGGGTAGATGTGACTCAGCCCAGCACTCCCTCCACTTTCCTTCCTTTGCTTGTTAACTTCTACGTGTTCCATCTTACTAGTTGCATTCCTGGTGGCGTAAATTCTCCAGTGCCTTTAAGAACTAGACATCACAGGAAATCGATCCACACTTATGTGCCCTAGTGCATAGCAGATTTTGAGCCCCCTGGGTAACCAACAAGCATGCGAGTTTCCTTCCTGCCTAGCTCTTCACCGAGAAATGAGATGAAGCATGAGTTAGATGAAGGAGGTCAACGAGCGCTCACTGGGGGCAAGTAGAAACGCTGGTGTGATAAATGATGTGTCTCTCTTATCTGGCCGTGTCAAATTTTTCATTTGGCATGATGTAACCATACCACAGAGGAATTGAATTGTGTCCCTTGCCACCCTGAAATGGATTCATCACTGACGTTTGGAAAATGAGATAAACCAAGAATGAATCCATCTAAGAGCCAGACCGTGGCATTAAATACCACACAGGGAAGGAGTAGACAGTTGGAGGATGGCTGGTTCTGATTTGGGGCTTATCTGGCCCCAGGGGTGGGTACAGATACAAAAAGATTTAAGCAATCTTTCCTGCCCCGGCTCCCAGGCTCACATTTCTAACTTTTTATTTTGGTCAATGTTATTCTCTTTACTACATTGAATAGCAAATAATTTATTCCTGTATGAATACAGAAAAGTGAAAGTCTGGCAAACTGCTCCACTGGAGTTGACTAGTTTGCTCTCCAGTGTGATTGGAGGAACCAATTTTATTTTTGATAACAAATTACATATTCATTGTGCGATTAAATATTAACCTTTTCCCTACAATGATGTATTTTATTTTACTTTAATTAGTGTTTTTCCCTGATCAAAATGAGGGTGATCTGCATTTCGTATGTTAATTGGACATTTTCATTTCCTCTTCTTTGAATTGCTTCTCTGCCTGTATTTTTGCTTTCTGTTTTTAGTTTTTTTTAAAACTTTAGAATGTGTTTATTTTTTAAGTGTCTTACGAGATATATAGTATTTTTGTCCTTTGTCTATTATTTGACTTTTAGGGGTACTTGTGGTCTCTATTGTGAAATAGAAGCTTTAAATTCAAATGAATTTTTGAGCCTTTTCTTTTTTCAGCTTTAGATTTTTGTGCCTTGGCTATAAACACCTCTTAGCTTCCTAGAGATATTTTCTGTATTTATGTGATACAAGTTCTTAGCTCTAGGTAGACTAAAATGCGATTCCGCAGACTATAAGAACAAAGCATTGTAGAATTGGCAGCAGGCTTTATTCAAAGCTCTTTGTTCTCAGATTCCTCCTCCTCCTCTTTATCAGCACTCTTTGCAGATAGAAGCTCATTGCATTCTGCCCTGCAGTGGTACCTGTGTATGCTCTCACTAGACAAAAGTGGCATTTAAACAAGTATGGCCTCGAGGTCACCTAAGTTAATGCATGTGACTCAAAACTTCAGGAATATATTGAACTGGCTGAATCACATTCTTTGGGAAGCACAAGTCCTAAAGTTACAGTGAAGAAGCGGTTTTACTCTATTTTCACCCTTTTTGCTATATTTCCCCTCTAATAAACATATATATGGAGAGAGTATTATATAAGCATTATACAATATATATGTATATTTGACACAAAGTCTCACACTATGTACCTCAGATTTGTCCTGCTTCAGCTTGCTGAGTGCTGGGATTACAAGTATGCATCACCATGCAAGACTAGTAAAGGAGATTGAACTCAGGGATTTGGGTTTGCTAGCTAAGTGCTGTCCCATTTGAGCCATACCTCCAGCCAAGCCATCTATTTTTGATGCCTTTTCTCTTTCTTCCCTTGTTTCCATCCTTTTCCCAGTTGAATCTTTTCCTCCTTCCTGTTTTACATGCTCTTTCCTAGCATCTCTCTCTCTCTTTTTTTTGGTCACCCTGTCCTCTCTTTCTTCCATATTCTATGAAAGGTAGACAGAACTCCTAGGATGGAGATAAGAAAATCTCAGGTGTGATCATTTCTGTCAGAAACTAGCTGTGTGATGTTGGAGGCTCTTGTCTCTCCTCCCTGGGTTCTGGTTTCTTTTTCTCTAAAACGACAGGATGGAATTAGCCACATTTAGACTTTGCCTCTTCTCTCATGCGCCAGCGTTCGGCCTTCATCCCCCCCATTCTTCCATCTCATTAAGCCCCTCTCACCAATGTACCTGCCACAGTCAAAAACAATCGCATCTCTTTCCACCCTCCCCTCTAGCTTTCACTTCCCCCACCCAGCCACACACACGCAGACCCTGCTGGCAGTACAGATGTTGATTTGATGTGCTTGGACTCCAGGCATTCAGACTGCTCTGGGCAAAACAAAAAAACAGGGCCATCTGTTGGATGCATCCAACTACATCAACAGGCTAACATGTGAGCTCCCTTTCTGCTGAAGACCTATTAGCCATATTCTCCTGGGTGGACTTAGCTAACAACTTGCTACCACCTGTTGCAATATGGCCCCTGTCTGAAGCCTTCAGCAAGTGGCCAGGATGTGTTTATCCTGTCCAGCTGTTGTGCTTGCTTTTCTAATGGCTAAGGGTCACAAGTCAAGGGCTAATGAGGTAATGGATGCTCTTCTGGCTAATTAAACTCCACCTTCGATGGAAACTTTCAATGAAAGTTCTTAGACTTTAGGAAGTGGAGCTTGATAGTTTTGAGATTACAAAAGTCTTGAAAATTCATTAGAAAAACCACAGGATGAAAAAAAGAAAAGAAAAAAAAAAGAAAAGAAGTCAGTCACGAAGGCTTCAGAGGCCCCTGCCGGCCCAGGGACGGATACCTGGAGCGTCCAACATCGCAGTGAGTGAGCTGTTTGAAAGGCAGGTTTCCGAGGTGGCGGAGGGACTCACAGAGGCTCCTCCCACCCACCCCTTCCATTTTGGGCAGGGTTTTCAATTGAACAGAAGGACCTCACACACTGCAGAACAATTCAGCCCTCCACAGCATCTCCAATCTGCTATGGCTTTGCAGCGCAGCAGCAAGAATGATTCAATAGATAATAGATAAAGATTCCATCCAAAAAATAAAATAAAGATTCTTGCAGCCCCCACCGCAACACCAATTCCTAAAGTTAACCCATCACTTGTGCTGTTAATACGTGACAAGATGCTTAATTGGAACCTAGATCCAAGAGACTGAAACTGAATCTTCACTCCCAAAATGAAAACAAAATACAAGGTTCAGGTAAACACACATACGAGGAGGAAGAGGAGGAAGATAAGGTGTCAGAAGCAAAGCCGAGTGACGGAACACGTTCAGTCGGGGCAGATGTTTATAGAGTGGAGTGGGGCTTCAGGAAGAGCTCCGTATGGACTCGTGGGCAGCATCTGGAGGCACCAGATCCTTCCATGGCAGATCCACGAACAGGGAGCTAAGGAAGGAGGCCATTTCTGTCATTCCAGTCCTAGAAGCTCCACATCGAAGACCAGAGTGGCGTTTGGTGGGATGATGCCAGGGTGACCAGTGACCCCGAAAGTGTAGTCTGTAGAGATAATCAGTTTGGCTCTCTGACCCACACTCATCTGGGCCACCCCTTCTTCCCAGCCTCGGATCACTTCCCGCTTGCACAAACTTAAAGGGCTCGTTTCTGTCCCGGGAGGAATCAAATTTCTTTCCATCTTCCAGCATCCCGGTGTAGTGCACCGCGCAGGTCTGGCTGCGCTTCAGGAAGGTGCGCCCATCTCCAAGGGAGATGGTCTCCACCTGCACGCCCATGGCGGCAGCGACGGTGGCGGGTGCGGTGCGGGCGGCCAGAGGACCAGCAGCGAACCTGGCGGCCACTCCGCGACTCTCGCCATGAATGTTCTATATGACAGTTAGCGGTAGAGGGTGGGACAGTTGCCTTTGTGGTAATACATAATACACACACACACATATACACACATACACACATGCACACACACACACACACATACACACATACATACTACACACATACACACATACATACATACACACATACATACATACACACATACACAATACATACACACACATACACACATACATACACACATACATACATACACACATACACACATACATATACACATACATCTCTATATAAATGTAAATAGTCAGTGCTTCTGTGTGGTGCACACACATGTGTGTGCCAATTGTGGGGCTTGAACTCAAGGCTTGGGCATTCTTTCTTTTATTTGCTCAAGGTGAGCACTCTACCAGGGTGAGCCACAGCTTCACTTCTGGGTTTTTGCTGATTAACTGGGGAGATGAATCTCCTGGGCTTTCCCTATCCAGGCTGGCTTTGAACTGTGATACTGAGATCTCTACCTCCTGAGTAGCTAGGATTACAGGCCTGGGCCCCTGGACCCTGGGGCCTTTGTGATTTGTGTCTATAGTTCTAACAATTTCTAAGTCTCACTTGATTTTGGCAGCTTTAATTTTCTTGTTTCTGAGATGAGCAAATGGGAAAGGGGTGGAAAGTGTCATATTTTGACTGATGGTTGAGACTCTGCACTCGTGTTATAACAAATCTAAGCACTAGGGGGCAGCGTTAACTAAAATTTGCTGGGACTTCCTACCTAATCTGAACTTTGGGTGGTTCAGCACACATTGCTAATGAGGAGCAAGACAGTGAACACAGCTGATCTGCCTTAGAATCATCATCACAATGTCCCATTACAGTGTCAGTTTTCTGCTAGCCCATTAACCCTATAGGGTATTCCACTGAATATTTTACTCCAAATCCTGGAGAAACACTTTTTTCTTTTATGCAGTTGAAATCCTGCTTGCTGAAATGAGCCCACGCTCTCTCTTTTTAAAATCTTGTCTTAAGTGAAGGCGAATAACAGATTGGGGAACTAGAAAAGAAAACCTGAAGTAGTGAAAATGAGTTACTCTATTTTATTTTTATTTTAGGCTGAAATTCAGTACATTCAAACTCCTTTAATCTCACAGAGATATTCTGTAAGCCCCATGCATGTTCTTGCTGCTGTGGGACTAGAACTTGGTAATAAGGATTTTGAAACTACTGGAAATGTAATGAGCACAGATTTATGGTCACATTCCTGGGAGTTGATCTGATTCTTAGACTCCTCTAGTCCAATTTTCTAAACAGGCTATTTCTGCAAACTAGTTCCTAAGACTTTTGAACCACATTGTCTTGTTTAGGTATAGCCATGACCTGTCTCTTAGGACCAATTTGCAGTGTTAATTAGCTCTATACTGACAGTGACAGAACACTTTGAAGGAAACCATTTAGAAAGCAGAAAAAGTTTAGTTTAGTTCAGAATTTCAGATTTTTTTTTAGTTTATGCACATCTAGCTCCATTGCTCGTAGGACTGTGGAGTAGCAGAATACCACAGCAGCAAGAGCAGATCGCAGGAGATTTTGTTCATCTCATGGCAGCCAGGAAACAAAAAGAGAAAGTGTGCGAGGATGCTCCCAGGGACAGGATATACCCCCATTCTCAAGGTCATGCCTCCAATGACCCAATTCTCTCGAATGAGAGATCCCATTTCCTAAGTTTCCATCATCTTCCAACAACCCATCAATAGCTTAATCTGCCGGAAATCCTCCTAATCCAGCCACTGGTCAAAAGGCTGACATTGCTAGACTGGGGATCACCTTTACAGCACATAATGGAATTGTTCAACTCAAGCAACCATAAGGAGAAAGGAGGAGAGAAGAGGAGGGCCCTCCAATTTAAAATGCTGTCTGAGCTAGCTTCCTTCCATCTTTTTGTGTTAGCAGAACAATTAAACAGGCAGAACAATAGAGTGTGAATTTAGTTAGATTTCCAAGGAGAAAACTATTTTCCATAAAGCAATTGGGAAAGCAGTTTTTTTTGTCTTTCTAACTCAAGAAGAGGGAAATTATCCCTCTTCAGATACTTTTCTGAGACTTTTATTTTCTTATTGTATAAGTACAAAAGAAAGATTCATAAACATAAGATAGTGGCACAGATGGTTAAGAGTTCCATGACAGTCAAAATTCCAAAAGAAAAACACATGAGAAGCTAGTTTTTAAATACCTTTTTTTTTTTTTTTGCAAGAGGAACTGGCACACTTGGGGATAAATACCTACGAAGATTTACAAACTTCAGTCTGTTCAGTCTCTTTTAAGAAATGGATTGTTGGCTATCAAGAGCACAATAGAAAAAATTGCCATCTGATCAAAGGGTTTGTGAAAAGTTTCCAAAAATGAATGCTACAAGTGGCTTGTTTGACTTGGGGCCTAGCAGATGCTGGATGAGATCGCTGGGAAGTGCAAACTAAAGAAATATGAGGAGTATCTGTGTGTGTGTGTGTGTGTGTGTGTGTGTGTGAGAGAGAGAGAGAGAGAGAGAGAGAGAGAGAGAAAGAGAAAGAGAGAGAGAGAGATCAGAGTTATCCAGAGAAATAAAACCAATAAAATAGAGGCTGAGAAATTCTGTGATCTGCAATGTTTTCCTGGAAACTCAAGAAAGTTGGTAGTACAATTCAGTCCAAACCCAAAGACTTGAGAATAAAGGGAGCCAATAGGTTCAAGTCCTAGTCTGAGAATCAGTAATGCTAATTGTGAAAGCAGGAGAAGAGATTATCCCAGCTTCACAGGTGGGGGGAGGGGAAGAGAAAGACAGAGACAGAAACAAAGAGACATACAGAGAAAGGGACAGAGAGACAGACACAGAGACATAGAGAAACAGAGACAGAGAGACAGAAAGAGCAAGCGCAAATTAGCTCTTCTTCTGCCTTTTCATTGTATCATGTTCCTCAGCAGCTTGGGTGGTGATGTCCATCGACAATGATAAGAGTGATCTTCTTTGCTTGCTTGATCATTGCTCCAACTCAATTCAACTCAATTTCAATGCTAGTGTCTAATCAAACATCCTCACAGGAATCCATAAATAATGTTCATCAGCCATCATTTGTGTATCCCTTAGCTTGGTCAAAATGAAACATACAATTCTCCATCACAGTGAGTATATATGTGCATGTCTATGCATTTGCACAGATATGTGGGTGTGTACACATTGGTACATATGTGTGCTTGTGGAGCCAAATCTACAGACTTTAAGAGAGAGCATGACAAGTGTATATCAGGAGAGGTAAAGCCCAAGCATTTAGCTGGTCCCTATCTGTAAGCATACCTTTGCAAGATAGCTTCTGGGCTGCAGACCTTATGAATATCTTCTGCATTTATGCAAACATCAGTGTTCCACTCCCCCAAGCTAGTTATTTTTACATACCCATACACATTTATGAACCTTCACATATATATATAGTACTTAACTTTGGACAGTTTCTATAACATAGTACTCTCAGTGCTTGCTGATATTCTATATTAAGGAAATTACTTGATGTACATTTACAGGACGGGGAAGTTAGGAATGGTGATGGAGAAAATGGGTAATTACAAGGGTTACCATTGCCTTAGGTGAATTTAGGGGCTTCAAAGATGGGACTTAAGTGGAGGATGCTCAGATTAGGGGACACCACCTTGGGTGTAATCACACTATCATTTTTTTTTGTCAGTTGTGGGGCCTGAACTCTGGGCCTGGGTGCTGTCTCTTAGCTCTTCAGCTCAAGGCTAGCACTCTGCCACTTGAGCCACAACACCACTTCCTGCTTTTTTCTGCTTGGTGATAAATAACTGAACCCAGGTCCTCATGCATGCAAGGCAAGCACTCTACTGCTGAGCCACTTTCCCAGCTCCATACTGTATCATTTTTGGAGGAGGAGGAGAGAAAGATGGAGTCTGGGATCAAAGGGTTTCTTCCACAAGTCCAAGCAAGCATGGGGCTTGAACATTTGGAGGAAGGGAGGAAGCATTCTCTTTGGAGCCTCCAGAGGAAGAGCAGCCATGCTGACTGTTCACAGATAGCCCACAGCACGGGTTCTAGACCCATTGGGCCAATTGTTGCCTAGTTGTTAGCTTTGGCAGTGGCCAAAGCTAATAAAATTCTTCTGATATCTCATGGTCACTCAGTAACCCTGAAAAGTTATTGAGTCAAAGTCTGGGGAAAGGAAATTGTAGAATCAGTAGGAGAAGGCCCTGTCTCTCGTTTCTGAGATGGAACCTTGGTACACCCAAGCAAAGATGTTCTCACCTCCCCAATGTGAAGAGTGCGGTTCACCAACCGCAGACAGAATGGCTCAGATTGTTGTCATGTGACAATTTCACAGGCTTGTGTGCATAGTCTTTCCTTCCTCAGTCCATTTCCTCTGTTATTTCTTGGCTGCCATATACTAGATACATATATAATGCAACTGGAGCTTCAGTTTCTTTCCTTAATGAACTGGGATGAGGATGTTGATATACTGTCTCCAGGGGTAGGTGAAGAGTGTGTGTGTGGAGTGTTTTGCAGGCTGAAAGATGGAGAAGTATACTTCAGGGTGCATGGGCTGTGGCTTTTGATCAGATTTGCTTAACAGAAATACCTAAATATTTAGGGGAAAGAAATTCTTCCATTTTTGTACTCCCATTCTCTGCTTACTTTCAAGAGGTGAAGCCAATTCAGTATTTTGGAAAGGGTTGAGTACATCCTGTGTCATGAGAATGGATGTCACAGGCTGAAGAATGTATCATGAAGCAACATTTCTGTCTCCTACTTCTGGAGACCTGGAAGTTCACAATGCAGATTCCTGGCTAGTCCAATGCCTGGTGAAGACCCAGTTTCTACTTGCAAAATGGTGCCTGAGATGTTGTAACCTTTGGAGGAGGATGGAAATGTTCTTTGCAGGGCAGAGGATTGAGGGAGAGACAGCTCACCTCTGCCTCTTCTGTATTCCCTCAGCTCATC